TAATTAAAATATCAGTTTTATTTTTTTTATAAATACAATTAATTTAATATATTCTCAAAATATTATTTAAACAAATCAATTTGTAATATACTAAATATCTGTTTAGAATATAAAAAAATAAAATTAGTGTTGTTAATAAGCTCGTTTTGAGCCGATTTTTCAAAACGGCTAACTCAGTTTTTATCCAGAAAAATATTATGCAAGCCTGAAAATTTTGCTCATAGAAGGAACAAGGGTCTAGACATATAGTAACGAAATTTATAAGCTTAGTCAATATTTTTCTGGAGAAAATATTGAGTTAGCCGTTTTTGAAAATCGGCTCAAAACGAGCCGTTTGACAACATTAGCTAATATGCTTGCTTATTAAATGATAATACTCGCCGAAAAATATGATAAAATACCAAATAGATGAATTTTTAGTACATACCAGGTCGAATATAATTTTAAAAAATTCCGAGCCGGTAAAAAAAATTTTTTTTTAAAATCCAGGCCGGGCCCCCAAAAATTTTTTTTAAAATATCCGAGTCGGGCCGGGCCTACAATTTTTAAACCCGGGAAGGGACGTAAAAAATTTTGAAAAAAAAAATCAGGGCCGGGCCGAAAATTTTTTAATTCGGGCCGTGCAAATGGTACCTCTGCATGTCCCTGGACACAATAAAGAGGAATGTAATATGGGAAATTATGACACCAGAGAGGGTTTTCCACAAAGATGAATGAATTAAAATACATCAAACGTGCGGACTATTGAGGATGAGAGAAATGAATGATCACTGTATCTAATGAAAAAACTCGAGGAGCTAAATATTGAGTGTTTTAGATGTCGGAAAAAGGGCATGTGGCTAAATGAGAGTATTGGTGACTATATGATGGCAATAAAAATACACGGGTCAAGATGAGGAGATTAAAAGAGATGGGCAAAGTGTGTTCTCATAAAAAAATAAAAATAGTGGGATGTGTAAATATGATACAAGAGGGACTAGTACATGACCCATGTTCGAAAGTAATGATAAATTATGGGAGTATGGTACCAATGTTATTTGACAGGGAGCGGCTATTTCGGTAATTGGATACGATAAATATCGGAGTATTTGGCTTGATGAGATGATTGAAAATGAAGGATTAAGAATACGGCAATTCGATGGATCACAAGTATCTGTAATTGGGAGAGTTGAAATAGAAGCAATGTTGGGATTAAGAGTGGAGATATTAGATTTATGGATTATCAATCGGAGGGTTAAAGCGGTGATGGGGTGGGACTGGACCACCCGAATAGGCGTGGTATAGATTTTGGAAAGTATTTGCATGGTGGGGCATGTTTGTACCTCTAACTCGACAAGATATGTATGGTAACATATCGGAGGATGCGTAGAAGCATTACCAGAATTTGGGACAGCGTGGAATAGAGAGAAAAGAGAGTGAAGGACAATCATATGGATAAGAGAAGAAACTACGAGTGATAGGGGTAAGAGGTCAGTATTCTTAGGAAGTGAGAGAATAAACGAAATTAATTCTAAGGGGGGAATAGGAGAGCATGATACTAAGTAGGAAACAGGGGGAAATAGTGTTAGGAGAGAAATAAGGGGCGGTAATATGGAGGCCTCGTTGAGGAATAATCGGGGGGGGGGGGGGGGGGTCATTGAGGAGTAATAGGGTGGACTTATTGGAGATCAATCGGAGAGAAATAGGGGTGCGTAATTCTAGGGGGGAATAAGGCCTGGAGAGAAATCGGGGGAAATAATTCTAAGAAAAAAGTAATTGGGTTTGGGAATATCAAAGAGAAATGTGAGTGACTGTTAAAGAGAAAATAGGGACGACCTGTAGAGGAAGATACGATGGGAATTTTTTTATAAAAATAGAGTTACCAGAGGTATGCACGGTGGAAATCGAAGAGATGGAGCGAAAAGGTAGAGGGAAAGCGCGTATTCGAGGGGTTGAGATGGAAATGAAGAAAAAGGATAGACGCAACGAAATTGCAGAGTGAAAAGATGGGAATGATTAAAGTGCAAGAAGTGCGGAATTATCAGGAAATTTTTAGCGAAAATTTGGTATGTCTCAGAGATTATGAAGTGGATATTAATGTGTGCCAAAATTTTGTGCGTTACGACGGCTACCGTTTGAATATAGGAAAGAAGTAGAAATGGAATTGGATCAATGGGTACAAAAAGGCATTGTCTGTCCTGTAGAATACAGCGAGTGGGCAACACCGCTAGTACCGGTAAAGAAGGCGAATAGAAAGCTTCGTCTATGAGCAGATTTTAGGGTTACATTGAATCCGGGGGTTGTGGAAGTGAAATATCCCTTACCGCGAATATAAAAAGTTATTCGCTAATTTGAAGTTTAGTATTTATCTTTCTAAAGTCGATTTTATAAATGCATACCTGCAGCTGCATGTAAAATAGGAGGTAAGGAAATTATTAACGATTCTACGCCTAAGGGATTGTTTGCATTTTGTAGATGGCCCTTTGGACTTAGTGTATCAGCTCCTATTTTCCAACGAACAATGATGGCCGTTTTTCAAGGAATGGAGGGAATTTTCTACTGACGATGTGTTTGTGACTGGAAGAACAGCCGAACAGCACAAAAAGAGGTTGGAGGAGGTGTTTAAGAGAAAGGGGGTTTGCGGACAGGCGTTCAAAAAAGTCTGAAGTGGTATATTTGGAGCACAAAATCAATGGAAAGGAGGTGAGGCCATTGAATCAAAACATGACTGGGATTATTATGCTGAGACCATATAATAAAGTGGAGGTGCAGACTTTTCTTGGAAAAGGTAAATTATTATCAGTGTTTGTGGAGGGTTTCGCGCAAATAGCAGCGCCGTTGTATAAATTGTTAAAGAAAGGAGAAAAATTTGAATGAAGGAATGAACAGGAGGCTTTTGAGGGGTTCAAATCTAGGATCAGAAGAAAACCAGTTCTAGTGTGATTTAATAATGATTTAGTATTGTTAGCCGTAGATGCGTCCAGTAAAGGTTTTGGAGCGTATTACATTGTGTAGACGACCTTGAGAGCTAAATGTTGTATTGTTCTGTAAATTAAAATTCACATAAGTAGAATGTGATAAAATTTATGTTGATAGTTTCTTTTTATAACTCCGTTAAATTAATAATTTTTTATGGCTAGTGTTTAAAAATAAAAGGTATAGTTGAAATATCGTTTACAATTTATATTTTGTTATATCTGTTTCAATAGATTCAAGCTCATCTATAATTAGCCCTGGATAAATTTACAGGTCAACAAAGGTAGAAAGCTTAAACTTATTTCCAGTGAGAATAGATCTTGCCAGAGAAAAAGTAGACTGATTCATTTAAAAAACAAAAATACCAGATTATATTCCAATAAGGATAAAATTTGATGAGATCTGAATGAAAATTCTTTTGAAGGATCTATTAAGCTTTTTTCAAAATAATGATTATTCTTAAATTTTTATATAATAAATATAATACAATCCTCCCACCCCTTACACCAGTTGAACGTGTTTTGGAAAATGAAGTGTTGAGTACCTTCTTGTTTATGATCAAAATTTTAGAAATCATTTGCTAAAAATTATTATAAAAATATCTTATATTATTATTTTTGCATATTTTTATTTATATTATATATAATTTTAAAATTTTCAAGTAACACGTTACTTTCTGAATAACCTGTAACGCGCATCACCTTTTTCACAAGTCGAGTTAATGAGTTTCTTTTTTGACAAAAGAAATAACGCATTTCTTCTTTGAAGTATAATTTATGGAACTACTTATATCTATCCAAAAAATTCTCAAATAAGAGCCACCCAGAAAAGTCCTATCCCATTTTAAGAAAATCTTAGAATTTATCAAATCAAATACATTTTAAATTTTTAGAACTGAATCTAGGGTTAAGAAGTATAAGCCTATTCCTAGATTCCAGCTCTTCTCCAATATCATAAATTTCTTTTCTATTGAAGATGAATGGTGGGCTGAATGAAAAACAAAATGCAATTCCATAGCTTTTTTTAAATATCAAGTCATTATATTTTATTAAAAAAAAATTTAATTATCAAGCAAAACCCAAATAACATTATGGATATTTTGAATTGTAAAAATTTGAATAGTCAATTTTTTTAAAAAATAATTGTAAATGTTATCAATTGAAAGAATTTTATGTATAATTATAATAAACCCTTTTCTAAAAACTATTTTATATATATAATAATGTTTTGATATTTAACATGAAACTTAAGTGCTATCACTAAATTATGTTATTAATAAGCCCAATATTTTTAAAAATGTTTGATTAAGATTTTAGTCAAGATAATATTATGAAACCTAAAGATGAGCAAAATTTGCAGGCTTATACAATATAATTTAGGCTAAAATCTTATTCAGGCCATTCCTAAAAATGAATCCAATTAAACTTTTTAACGACTTCTAAACAGTATCAATATAATAATATAGTTTGAGAACATTATAAGATAATATTTAAAAACAAAATATTGCTAGAGGAAATTTTACAAGTAAATATAAAAAATAGTTTTATTATTAATTGTTCTATTTTTTAAGTGGCTATAGCAAGTTTTTAACCAAAACAGTCATATGCATGAACTTTACAACCCCCATGGCTAATGTAGAGTTATACCCTTCCACTTATCAAATCAACAAAAAAAAGAAAATCAAAATTAGCATCTAAATAAAAACTACCCCTTTCAATGAAGCCATGGTATATATATCGTTTAAAAAAATGGTTTAAATTTGACACAGAAATAAATCAGCTCACACATCAACAGATTTTCTAAGCATATGCCAACCAGTATCAAAAAAAAATTGTATCTTTCCTATTATAAATAATCATAAATAAAATTCATTTCAAAAGGGTATATTCCTGTGTTATCAGAATTTATTAGATTATTAAAAAAAATGTGTGGTTTCATAATTCTGATGTAGATTTGAAAATAAAACAAAAAACAATAATTAAAAATTACAAATGGATCATGAAATTTATAAATTATTAAAGCGAATCTGGTTATAAACAACAATAGATTTTTAAGTCAAAAATTTATTAGTCTAAAATTTATATCAAACTGTTATAAAAATGTTTTCACAATTATGACTTGAATGTTTATTAACTATAAAATAATCAAGCAATATTTACATTTAAATAGCTTGACAATGATTTTAAGATAATTGGAATGGACATGATTTTAATAAAAATTTGTCCAAAAAAATTATACTAATATAATGTGTTAAAAAATAATTACATATTTAATATACTATATATAAATATATACAAAATTTAGGTCGGTCGCTGTCTTAATTCTTAATTACTATAAAAAAGGTCAAGCTATAAAAAGAGCTTAAAAATTCAAACATTAATAAATCACAAAAAATGTCAAAACTATATATACCTTTTAGTCATATATAATTTTTTTTAACTCATGGTGTTCTTTTTTTAATACTAATTAGATTGAAGACACTATGTGTTATAAAAACAATATGACAAAAAAGTTACATATAATACTATTATTAATTAGTGGCTGTAGGAAGTGCTGCCTTTCTAGCTTCAGAAGTAATTTTCATATCTTCAATCAAAGATGACAGCACATCTTTAAAACGATCTAGTGAATTTTCTGGGATAATCATTGAGGATGTTGTTATATTATTCCTTAGCTATTATATAAGAATATACATTGATATATTTATTTAATGTGTAAAAAACTTCAGATATTCTAAGATATCTTCCACGTGGATTTGATCTGGTTTCAAAATAAATTCTTTTATTACCTATTCTCATGTTTTCATTTTTATTTTCACTAGATCTCAAATCTAAACCAAAAAAAATAAGGCATTAAAGTAATTGTAGGTAACCTTCTTCTGTAGCATACTCTTCAATCAAATGGGTCAATTTATTTCTTAATTCAATAATTCCTTGGGCAGGAATTATTATAATTGATCTCTGATTAGTTTTAGTCAATATTTGACTAACCTTTATATATAATGTATTAAGAAAATTATTAGAATATAAGTACTTTAAGAATTCTCCCCCTTGGTGTGTCCTTTAAATCAAGCCAATACTTTCTGTTTCTAGCATTAATCATTTTATTCTTCAATATACCTCCCCTAGTTTGATTATCTATTTCAGGTGGTGGTCCTAAAGAGAAATTATTTTAAATAAATTTTTTAAATTACCTAAAGTAACATAAAATTCGCCAAACTCTGACAAGACATTTCTAAATTCTACCACTTTATCCATGGCAAGCACAATTCTTTGTTTAGGTCTATTGGGAATCACCTATAAAATTTATGACTTCTTTTTTGTATATAGAATGATAACCTGTGCAAGTTTTACAAATTTCCCATACATATTCTCCTTGACATCTAAATAATACCTTTTATTTTGTATAATAACCACTTCTGATGCTAATTCCCTTTCATTTGTGCGATTTCCATTTTCCTGAGTATCTAAGAATTATTAAATTATGAATTTAATAAATAATTTACTAGAAATTTTTTCTGCTGAATTGTATTCATCCTCTTCTTCTTTTACGCCGTTTTCGATCGCAATAGGTGTTTCTGAATTATTATTCCATTCCTCCCCACCATTTGCATCATTATAAGTTTCCTCACCATGGTCAGACATTATATATAATTATTGCTTTCAACAGATTTTTCTTTTTAAAACCGTCTAAATGTGTGTACGTATTTGGCTTTCTATATTACAATTTACATGCCAGACCCTTGCAATCCGATTATTTTTACCAACTTTTTTTAAAAATGGATGATATAGTAATGTGCGCCTGCGCTCAGATTCGGCGGATAACGAATAAAATATTGCTATTTAATTACCATTAGAATCAATAATTAGAATAAAATATACTAAAACTTAACTTAAATATAATATAATCTATAGAATAACAAATCTAGGAAAAAGCCAATTTATAATTAACTGGCTAGATCTATTAACTGGATTTACTATTCATAAGTTTCAATAAAAAGCTATTTCGGGTTGATTTTCGGAAGTTTCATTGATACTGTTTATCACTTTAGTATATAATCATAATTTCAGGCGCGTAACCAATGGGGGGGAAAGGGGGAAATTCCCCCCCCCATCGCAAATTTAACTATTTTCATAAATATCATTTTAAGCTAATAAAAATTTTACCCCCACCCTCCACCCCCCCCTACCACCAATCAAAATTTTGCAAATATATGAATATCAATTTTCCAACATATTATTCAAAAATATTAATAAAATGGAAAAATATTTAGTCAAAGATTGAAATCAAACGATAATTTATAAATAAGGCTGAGCATGAAAAAAAGTAATGTGTCGTCAGCAGCGATATCATTATTGAATTCAATTGATCAATCAGAGTTTATCATTGCTGCTAGTTGCATCAATAAATTATTTTTAGCTCACTACTTTGTAGAAATTTACAAAAATTAAAGATTTGGTTCAGGTTATTGATTTGGCGGAAAATATACATGAACAGGTAGATACAATAAGAATGAATGTAGATAAATATTTTCATAATATTTATCTAGACGTTGAATCGAAGGTTAAATTTTATGATATAACACTAATTAAACCTCGTTTAGCACCTAGGCCATTATTGAGATGAAAATAAATATTGGCTCAACTGAAGAATATTATAAAATATCCATTTTCATCTCATTCTTAGATACTTTTTTATCGCAAATAAAAGTACGGGTTTTAGATAAAAAACATTTAGCAATCTTCAAGTTTTATTACCCAAAGATCCTTCTTCATTTTCTAATGCCATTGGTAAAATTAAATATTTAGAAAAATTTTATTCCTATAAGATTGATACTGAAATAAATTTAATCTGTGAATTCGAATTGTGGTATAAATATTTATACGTTTAGCTATTTTACCTGAGCATGCTATTGATGCGCTCAATCGGTGTAAAGAAACCTTGGCTCAATTTCCTAATATTTCGAAGTTGTTTTTTCTTGCATGTTTGCCTATTACAACATGTACGAATGAAAGGACTTTTTCCAACTTGAGAATGTTGAAAACATATTTACGAAGTACTGAATCTCGGCTAAATGGGTTAGCTCTGTTAAATATACACAGAGATTTGGTTCCAACGACAAACGAAATAATTAAAAATCTTGTATTTGATAAGAAGTTAAAAAACTTGTTAATTTAATTATTTTCTAGTCAATATTTTAAACACACTACTATTAGTATTTTCAATAAAAAAATTATATTCTACTTATATTGTATGAGAATTTAAGCTGAGGCTAGTATTTAAAGCAAATTTTATAAAAAAATGACATTACACTTTATTTCAACTTTACATTTAAAAAAACCTTTACATTTAAAAAAACTTTATTAAATATAATATACCTAACTTGAAATAATAAAAAAGAGGCTTGTAATATCCTATCCATAAGCACGAATTAGTAAATAATAGTTAAAAATAGAAATATAATTATTATTAAATTATGAATAATTTAATAGAATAGCTAACCAGGGGAAAGCTGGCCGAAGGCCAGGTAAAAGGGGTTTGGGGGCGAAGCCCCCAAAAATTTTTTCCCCCCCCCTATAAGAAAATCCTGGATACGCCATTGCATTATTTTCACCGATACTTTTAAAATTTAAGAAAGCATTTTATATATTGGCATAAAATAATATTTTGGATACTTTTCTTAAATTCTAATTATACCTGTGAGCCAGTAAAACTACTAATTGTGGGGTTATAAAATGACTTGATATTAAATAGAAATAAATTTCAAATAAAAAGATTACACACGTGATATTAAAAATAACATATTTTTCCTAAAAATATATCAATGAAATGACAAAATTAATAACCTATAAAAAAAGGAAAATACATCACGCCCATTAATTGAAATCAAATATCATATTCCCACCTCTCAAGCTGGGCATAAGACTACTTACTTGCCGCTTTCCATAATTATTGTTCCGTTTAGAGTTTGATCCATCACTAACATTAGTATTGCTGGTTTCTTAGTCCCGTAAATCTCCACATTTTTGTTCGCTTATAATTGCAGATTATTTTCTTCGACAATATCGATTTTGTCGGTGTTGAATAACCATCCCCATAGACTGCACTGGTGTTTAACTATATCCATAACTTGCACCGTTGTTGAACATATCCATATCCGATTTATTCTATCAAATATAAATTACAACTCTTGAATAAAATGTATGTTTAAACCATGACACCCCCTCCCCACACACTACGATACCAGAATCTGATCTCAATCTTAGGAGCTCTACCTCCTTTTTTATTTGATCCTAGAGTCTAATTCCTCTCCAACATCTCTGAACCAGATCTTACTCATTTTTCGTCCAATATTTTCAACTACAACCCCCCACTCCCATTTTTTGTTACTTTTAAAAATTCTGGCCCATACCTGATTACGAATTTAGACAACTTATTTTAGTTTCTACCTCTGTATCTGGTGCATGTTTCAATAAATCCAACAAGATTGTAGTTCGCTGCCCAATAAACATTTTCGTGGGGAACTGTTCTTTCCTCTTCCGACTGCTATTATAATAAGCCACTGCCATCCAAATCTTTCGTCACCCATATTTCACCTTTCGTTACCAATTCTTGAACCACGGCTACCATTCTCTCTGCCTGATCATTTGAGATCGTGTTGATGGGGCAAAATATCTTGAAATGTTCTCTGATGAAAGCTGGATCCCCATCCGATACATTTATTTTGGTCACCCCCAACTGGGCCCATAGATTTTTTTAAATTTTCACTAACATTTGAGTAGTTAACTCCTTATTTCTTAGTACTCAACCCATTTTAAATAAGCGTCCACCATGAGGATATATATATTTTTTAATTTTCAAAACCAAAATCTATTTGTATAAGCTCGCATGGCTGTGTAGCCTTTGGCCAAAAACTTTACTTGTCTCTATAGGGCATCTTGGCCCACCATTGCACATTAAACAATTCTTGCTTATGTTTTCAATCTCTTAATTTATTCCAGGCCACCACACATATTCCCGCCCCCGCTTCATCCGCTCAACACCTTGATGCCCCCGGGAATAATTTCCAACACCTCATCTTTTAATTTTAACAGCATTATACCTATATTCCTTCGTACCGCACATGTTAACTTTTTTCTATATATTATGTGAAGCTTTTATCTCCATCCCGCTATGCCTTTCGCCTCTTTATGCATACTTGCAGTAATTCTTGATCTTTCAATGAAAGACAGCTGTTTTAGTAATATTTGATGCACTACGTTAAGTATTTGTTAATCCTACATATTCTATCGAGTAAATTAATTAATACATGATAACATTGATAAATTAATGGCCGCGGTAATTTGACCTTGCGAACGTAACCTAATCATTTGCAAATTAATTGTTTGATTAATATTATAATTTGCTAAAACTGATGGCTATGCCACCTTTTCAAGTTTTTCCCACTTTACTGGTCTATCTCCTACATGCACAAGCGGTTTGTGATCCGTATACACTATATATCTAAATCCTATTAAGTACTCCCGGCATTTGGTCAAATCAAAATGACGCCCAACGGTTTCTGTTCAATAACTGAGTATCTCGTTTAGTCCATTTCCTATTTATCCATGCAATGTAACAACGCTCCTCCTGCACCCTTATTAGACGCATCAACAGCTAACACTTCCAAATCGTTATTAAAACACACTAAATTTAGTTCTTTTCCTATTCTACATTTCAACTCTTCAGAGGCCTCTTCCTGTTCATTTTTCCACTCAAGTTTTTTTCATTTATTTAACAATTTATACAATGACACCGTTATTTGCGCAAAAACTTCTACAAATTGATTATAATTTAGCATTCCTAGAGAGGCCTGCACCTCCACTTTATTATTTGGTCTCAGCATATTCGTAATTTCTGCCATATTTTTGTCCAATGGCTTCACTTCTCTTTCGGTAATCTTGTGCCCTAAATACACGACTATGTCATTCCCAACACATTTTTCTCTATACTCGCAACCATTTTTCTTTAATTCTTCTAAACCCCTCTTTCAATCTTTTTTCATGTTGGTCGGAAGTTTTCCCTGTCACCGATACATAATCTATATAATAAAATACTCCTTCTAAGCCCTGGAAAAAGCTATTCAAAAAATCCACTTTTGAAAAATATACATCTACTCTTTAAGTCAGTCATTTTCTCAATTCGTGGCAACTGATATTTAACATATAATCTAAAATAAACAAATTTGATTTTTAAACATGTAAAGTCAACTAATAATAATTATGAAAAAAACTTACAGGGGCATAAAATTAATGTCACACTGTTTAAAACTTCACGAAAAATTACAGGAAAAAGGTTAAGAGACATAGTCAAAATAGGAGAGATTCAGTTTGGCTTTATGGCTGGAAGATTAACGACTGATGCAATCCACGCAATTAGGCAAATGAGTGAAAAATACAGGGAAAATAACAAAAAGCTACACATGGTCTTTCTCGATCTAGAAAAGACCTTCGATAGAATCCTAAGAAAACTTATTTGGTGGGTGCTACGCCATTAAAAGATTTCCGAAAAATATATGGAAAAATTCAGGATATGTATATAGGCCATACAACAATGGTCCGTAGCACAACTGGTACTTCAGCAAGCTTCACAATAGCCGAGGGATATAATCAAGGGTCGGCTCTGAGCCCACTTCTCTTCATAACATAGACGTATTATCACAGTATATAACTCAAACAGACCGGTGGAATATCATATTTGCAGATGATATTGTGATACTTGCCAAATCCAAGGATGAAATGAAAGAAAGATTAATGAGTTTGATAAAT